AGTTCTTTATATCTGATATAGAACTGATTAATAAAACATCAGTGCTTTATGGGATATAAAGGCCCATCATGTGACCCAATAGTTCGATGCTCATTGRACTAATAGCTCATGAATTATTAATGAGTTCTAGAAAAGGTCGGAAGCAAAGATTTAATATTGCCTTTCAAAATCCAACATAAGCTAAAGCATATTTTTCTAAAAACTTCAGGATCAGGACAAATCTCTTGCTCATATAATATAAAGATGCAGTCACAGCAATGATTTTCATTATGTTTGCTTTATGAATTATTAATAAATTTGAKAAGTTTCTGCGTAAAAGCAATTTTAAAACTGGAGTATACCAAATATCTTTATATAGTAAATTGACATTTGCCATTTTATCAGATACCTTTTTGGAAATAGCTATATACAGAACATTACCAGATTTCAAATCGAGTGGGGACTGGGCAAAATCCCCTAATTGGATGATCACGAGATAAGACTTACATAGAAAGAAAGCCCTTGTTGAGAAATGCAAAATTCCAAAATCTGGTGTCAATCAATTCAATAGTGAGCGAGTTACAGCCTTTCAAATATTCTAAAATTTGTAAAGAAATGTATGGGAAGCCGCAAATGTGTCCGAATTTTGACCATTTTCTGGACACATTCACGGCTTTCCATACATTTCTTTGGAAATATTAGAATATTTGAAAGGCTGTAACTCGCTCACTATTGGAATGATTTACATCAAATTTTGGAATTTTGCATTTCTCTACAAGGGCTTTCTTTCTATGTAAGTCTTATGTCATGATAACCCAATTAGGGGATTTTGCCCAGTCCCACACGGTTTGAAATCCGGCAATGAARAGATRAAATCAATGAAACAAAGGGACCATATAATGTTCTATTTTTTTTGTTTTTACATTGCTCTGGGATATTAGGGATGAAATGTCACCAAACTGAGGGAAGTGAAGTTTTAATAGGGGATGTTTGATGGAATGATGGTAATAGTATAACATCTAATGAGATGCAGAAGTAAAAAGTACCAATAAGAAAATACAAACATCAATATTAATCAATGACAAGTGCCATGGGTYGAAGTGCATGTCAATCATCGTTCTCAAATGATTTCGTAGGCAGATTTGTGAAAGGATAGTTTACATATATAAACACACACATTTAAACTTGTGTACAGCATTCATTTCTTTTCATTTGCTGTAGTCTAGTTTTTCAGAGATATCTACAAANAATTATTTGACATCGATTTCCCGGTCATTCCTTGTTATTTTGCGACACTATGCCTACCGGTCCAAAATGGCGGACAAAACCGTCACCTCATCTATTGGAATCTATTGACATTAAAAGCCCTCCATCTTATTTCTATGTATTTTATGAATCTCATTATATATCTTTCACAATCCACAACCCTTTTGCAATTGACTGAATATCGTAATTTGTATAATTTAATAAGAAAGAACAGGATGAAACGTCCCGAATGTAAACACAACGCAGTCTGCAAGCTGCATGTTTTGTTTATAAAAAGCTTAATAGCTCGCATGTACTTTTTTTATTTCTGAGGCCTTTCGAAATAAATTTGCTTTTCTTCTTTTAAAACATCTCTATTATTAGTATTCAACACATAAGCCTATATCACTACATCGCTTTAGCTATCTGCCATGCGATATTTTGAATAAGTAAGCTTAAGCTTGATAAGTTTTTGCATTAAGCTTACCGATGATTCGCTTTCAATGGGAATTTCGACTGTATTGTAAATCTACAGTGATCAAATCGGATGTCCAGTGGCAACGAAAATTATGAAATTATTCATTTCATTGAACATGACGAGCTYCACTTCCCCAACCTTAACCGAAGGCTGAGAAGACGAATAATATTTAAGCTTACCTTTTACTCCCGGGCTAGAATCGACAATCCATGTTGTATGAAGAAAAATCTGTACAATAATGTAAAAAAGGCAAACGAAGATCAGCAGCTTTAAAACTGTCCTAATCCGAAGTTTTCTTCTCATGGCGTGAGTCACTCACAGGCTAACTGCACAGGCAGAATCCAAGCAGAAGCCGTCAAGCTCTGAGAGCAGACACAAAAGATGCTTATGTGAGGGGGGTAGGGTGGTAATGCATTGATGATAGAAACCCCCCTCTCCTGRCTCTCTCAGTGTAATTCTCAAACCATGGATGCTATGTGAAGGAAGCCTGGATGATAATCTAACCAGGGAAACTAAGATCAGTTTTAGAACTGTTTAAAACTGTTCCTGTTCGAAGTTTTATTTCATAGAGCGATCGTGGACAGCTGTTAGATTATTGTTTGAGGGGGGTGGGATGGGTAATGCTATAAAGGATGATGCGAACAGGCTTCTTGGGATGTTCTGCCGTCCAATTCACCCTTAACCGCCGGAAATTAGTAGAGCGAGGACGTTTTTCCTTATCTTTCCTTGTTAAGCTCGATTTTTCATTCAGCTTTGTTGTTTTCAGACATAAATAGGTCAGGCAAAGAACTGTCGTTGAAATTCACCTGCCGCGCGGTAAAATGCTCACTTTATTATTTCTCAGCGCTTAGATCTGAGCTGTATAAGCGCTTTAAAAATTACATTATTATTATTATTATTATTATTACTTAAATGTATAGTATTTCGCCAAAACAGTGGACTTGGACCAGAAATTATTGTTTATCTTGTAAAGTTTTGTTTTGGATAATTGTAATGAATACTTAAGTATATTACGTCGGTGCTAGTGGGCCACAAATGCGATGATTCGCTTCTCATTGGTCAAATTACCATGATCCATGTAGTTATAGATGAAAGGTATCGTTTAAGATAAGTGAATACATTGTTGAATCAGTTTATATATATTTTTATTATTATGACGATAGTTCAACTAATATCTGAACTTCAATCTACATGTATAGTATAGTGTATGATAAATAAAAATGGATTATTGCTTGAATTACGTGTACATAAGAAAACTCAAATTGATATTAATATTCATAAGATTTTTCGAAAAAAAGGAGATCACCAAGGCAACCGGTCACTTTCGGTACTCCCCTCTATTTTCAAACACGTCCAGTTTTTAAGCTATTTGCAACCCTAATAAGTCTCCCCGTGAATTTTGCGATGAATTTTACAATCATGAATCAAATTCCAATCGCCTTCAGCATTGATTACCAATAATGACTATAGTGTCTTAGTAATTAAGTAGTATGACCTTGCCACTAGGCTTTAAATCAAAATTTAAAGGCGCCGGAGGGGGTAGAAGCTAGAGAAAGAAAACACATTTTGTGCTGAATTGTTTTCATTTCAGCGAATAAACATACTCTGTCTCTGACGTCATAGTGAAAGGAGGCCAACTTGGTCCAGACACACAGCAGCAATTGGTAGGAAAGTGGAAAATGAAAAACATTTAATTTTGTGAATTTTTTTTCCGTTACATCTGTGAGACAAAACAAGTATTATATAACAAGTGTACTGATTTGTTGAATATGCAAAAAGAAACCTGTGTTTCTTTGAGAACTTCGAAACATGGCTGTTGTTGTGTTATTTTATATAAATGTATTAGAAGCCGATATTTTCCGCATTCTCTGTTAGCATGGTTAGAACAGAACACTTTTGATTGTTGACAGAACACTTTTGATTGTTGACAGAACACTTGGAAACACTCGAAAAGGTTTTGAATCACAACATTCCCGCGTGAATAGAAACACGGAAAATACTTTCTAAAATTGCTGTCATTAAACAATAATAATTTGTAGTAATTTTAGTGCACAATAGCGTGAGCAAACTATGGAACGTAGTAACACCGTCATGGATTTAAGGCGGCAATATAGTTCTACTGTATCATGATATAACCAAAGGCAGTAATTGATATCTCTCGACCATTACATGTCTTTCCATGTCCACAAAAATTGCCACAAGAAAAAGGAATGGTGTGTTTGTGGATCTTCTTCTTCGCTCCTATCCCAAGAAAACTGTCAACGCTATTACAATCGTTTTGTTCATTGGAAATTATGCCAATGCGGTGATAACCGCTCTTCTCGTAACCCGTATTAAACCCTTCCCTGTTACAATTTTCCTGCAGTCTGGCTCCATCAATCAGGGACAACCATTTGGCTTTACTGATGTTTGTTGGTCGATACTCTCCTTTAGCAATGACGTCATAGAGAGATGAAGCCTTATATGGGATAACAGTCCATTTAAGGGTATCATTAACTTTCAAACCGACACACAGTTTGTCAAAAGGCATCGCCCAGTAACTTGGCATCTTGGTTTGGTTGTTATCAAAACCGGTTTGACCTGCTATCGGATTGTAGGATTTCTTATTGGTCCATAAAACCGAGTTGTAGCGAAAATTATCCTGAAAATCATCAGTGAAACATTCAGTACAAAATGTTTTGTGCGTTACAGCAATTTCGTCAAAACATGTGACTGTGATTGCAATATATAGATTAACAAGGCTCAAATTTTCAAATTTGTACCTTTGAGCCGTCGATTTTCATGGCCAGCGTCCATCCCCCACCTCCACAGATGTCATCAGTCAAATGACAGTAAATGTCTGTTGTTTTGTTATCAATGAAGAGTCTGTAGGTCGTGTTTTCACGTTGGCTTTTTTAAAGGGATACAAGGATTTTATTAGTTTTTAATTATTTATACACTTTTACTTATACAATAGACATACCTTGTTTTACTCCAAATGTCTTGACATGATTTCATTTGATCTACA